TCACGGCTCGGGGGCTGGCGCAGGTGTCCCGCTGGTTTAAGGCGTAATACGGAGGAATATTTTATCCTTTGCCTGCCATTTTTTTTTCTTTTAAGGTTGCTTGGCACGTGTGTCAAACTTCAGTTGTGTTACTGAAGGTTTTGTTATTAATTTCTATGGGGCTAAGTAAGTGCTTATCCCTGTCTTGCTCAATGAGGTGGCCTTTAAAAGGACTGCCCAAACATGGAATGATGCTGATAACTGATACCACCTGGGGGATTTGGCTTTTTCTCTCACTTTATATACTGATTTTTGGTTTGGGGTGGGGGACAGCAATGGAGTGGCTCAATGGCGGCCTGAGGAGGTAGCTGGGGGCTGGCATGTTCTTCAAGTGTTTTTTGCCTTTAGGAATGTTACACTGAGTTTTCACACAGAGGAACAGAAGTGTGAAGAACAACTCGCAGGCGGCACAAAAAGCTGACATGAGAAAGTAGACTGTGTTCGATCACGCTCTTTGTGTTAGCTTCAGTGTAACCCGTTACAGATTTTGGAGAGTACAACACACTGCAACTGTGATTGTACAGCATTTTTATATAATTATTTTCTGAGACAACAGCTCAGTAGTAAATAATGATATATTTATATCCTCTAACAGTGATGATAACTGTCTGCCTGTACCACTATATTTAATGTCCAGTTTGAAGAAAATTTTCCACTTTTATCATGCAGGTCTGTGTTCTTTTTGCTCTCACATACGTTTTAGGAGCTGTAGTGATTGAGATACTGGAAGAAAAAAAAGGTTGTTTGTTTGGGTTGTTTGTGGTTTTTTTTTCATGTGCTGTGAAGGGGCATAATGCCTTACAGTATAGGTGAAGTTTTGTTCTTCAAGAGGTTTTTGTCATCCTGAAGAATATGTCAAAAACTAGTCTAATAAATAATCCTGACGCAGATTATTATTAAAAAGAAATGTGTTTATAACAGGTACCTGCAAAGACGCAATGGCGACAGAATCTCCGCGCCGCCCTAGTCGGTGTACTGGAGGAGTGGTGGTTCGCCCACAAGCCGTCACGTAAGCACGTTCTAGAAGAATAGCCCTTATTTGAAATGCGATTTAGCTTCTTGTAGAAGAGCCTTAGCCTGATTTTGCTTTCGAAGCCAGCTGTGAGGGCCTGTGCTGACAGTACGGTTTTGTTGCGTTGAGTATTTCCCAATAAAATAAATTAAACAGATGTTGCGTTCCTGTCTCCTAGACTGTGCAGGTCAGGCTCTCTCCCTCAATGGGATGCTTTTTCCGTATACACTAACACCTTCAAAGCTGTACGTTTTACAGATGACCTCTTGCAACGTTTTGTTGTTTGTTTACACAGTTTTGTTTACTGTACAAGCACTGCGCTACCTGTAGATCAATGACTGCAAACTTCTTCCTTAGGCTAGGAGGAACATGTGTAGCATGTTCTTGCTGTTCTTTTTAATAGTACCTTGTCACAGGGGTGGATATATTAAAACATACAAACCTGTCATTAAAGGCCTTCAGTAAGTAGAATTGAGAATTCTATTTATTATTTTTTTTTTTGCTTAAGAGAACAAAACCAAGAACAAAGGAAGAAGCTACCTCTCTCCTGTCAGAGCACATAAGAGACCGTTGTTTTGCTTGGGCACCTTTATTTTCATTGTGTTCACATGAAAATACTTTCATGGCAAAAGAGCTTAGTAAGACAGTCTAGAAGATTTATGGTTGTGTCTTTGTCCTATAAAGGATTTTTGTAGCAGTTTGTTTTTTTTTCTTGGGGATGTTTATATGGCTGAGTTGCTGCAGAATGGCACTGTATTGAAATGTTCGCTTGTACACTCAGTTTCAGCAGCTGTTAGTTTGCCACTGGAGATAGCTGTGTATTTTGACATCAAGATTCAGTTTGTTTTTACCAGGGAGCACAAGCAACCTATCACTGTTACACAAAAAGTTGTGTTAGAGGTTTGTCATAAGCCATGTGACAGAATAAGTTTGTTTTTTTTTACATTGCAGAATTTCACAACAAATGCATTTCTGTTTGTAATGACCTTTTCTTCAAATTAAGCTTTGAATAAATAATAATAGAAAAACACTGTAAGAATAAGTTTATCTGTTCTTTTGTTTTATTAAATATGGTGGCTTGCTCTTGAAGTGTACCTTTTTGTTTCAAAAACTGCAGTATTTTTGGTGAGAGTTTGTGTATGATGAGCAGCCTGCAGCAGCATTCTGCTGCTTATGTTAAACCCCTAGATTCTTACTAACAGAAGATTTTTTTTTTTTTTTTTTTTTGGTGGGTTTTGTTGTTTTGGTTGGTTTTAAGCACTTTAAAGATTTCTTCTTGGAAGTTTTTCAACCTCAGGAGAGATTTAGAGTAATAAGCTGAATAAAACATTTCTCAAACATCAACTTTGTTTCCAGATGTACTGGGAGGGGAGGGAAGTACTCATTGCATGAGCTGAAAAACAAAGACAGTGTGACTCTTGCTGGTAGGCATTCACATGAGAACTTCAAACACTGATTTAATGCTATACCTGTAGACAAGCATTACTGCAAGGTAATAAAGGGCTCTGAAGGTACATCGAGACAGTTTTGGTGACCTACATAAATCGAAGAAGAATCAGCTCATTTATAAGGCCTCAGCTTAAAGCAGTAAGGCAAACTTTATTTGATACAGTAATCCTTGGATTGCTGAACAAAATCTAGTTTTGTCATGAGTTGGAATAAGCTTTCTAAAATTTAAAACTTTGTATTTTACATTTAGCTTTGTTTTCAGAGAGGATTAAACCAGTTAAGCAGATCCAGGTGTTGCAGCATTTGAGTTGAAGTATCTTCTGTATTGCTGTGTATGGGGCAGAGTACTTAATTCTTAAATACTAAGCACTCTAGTTTCTATTAAAAGAATCTTACGTAGCACAGTTTCAGAAAGCGCAAAGGAAACATTCGTAGCTTTGGACATCAAGAGTCTGGATTTCCTAGTTTACAATTTTTCTTTGTTACTATTAGAAGTCTTGAGTTAGCCCACGAAAAATTACTACCAATATAAAAATTAATTTGGGGGCTGCCAAAGAGGGGGCTTACTTAAAGAGTTAATTCTTATAAATAGTCCCAGAGTTGAAGCTTGTTGCCAGCATGTTTTGATATTACTCATTCCAGAAAGCACAAACTTCTTGTGTAGTTTCAACACTGCCTGTCTCATATAGTCAACCCACAGTATGCGTTGCTCAGCGGTTACACAAGAGACTTGCTGCTCGTGCAGGGATAAGCTAATAAAAGCATTAGCTTAAATCTACCAGAACAAGTGTATCTTGCAGTATATATATTCTAAATCGTTGCTGCTAATGAACTTCCGAGAAGGAATAAGCTTCCCGAGCTATGAAATCTTACCTGAAAGTATCTCTCCTTACTGTTGTTAGTGGGGTTTTGTACCACCTCCTTCCCCCAAGCGCTGCTGCTTACTTCTTCATCGTACATAAGGTGCACGAGGTCTTCAAGTTTACTTGCCCCCCAAGGAGAGCTCCAGCCCTTAGCTTAAGTCTTCATCAAGTAGAAAAATACTGAAGAATACTTTCCCAATGCCTGTTCTACTTCAGTCAGGCACTGCGATGTGGAGAGCATGGTTTCTTCCTTGACTGTTAAGTTTTATTCTTTCCCCCCCAGCAGTTATTTCATAAGCAGGTATCACTTAGCTTTTTACAGACTTTTAGGCCGCTATTTATATTGTCAGTGTTTGGCCTTATATGACGTAACTGCATTGCACACTTAGCGTTTCCCTTTGTGCTAAAGCTCACACATGTTTTCTCTGGTGATACGTCTGTCTTAATATGTTGACAACTGTTTCTGAACTTCAGTGGCCGTTAAAATTCTCTTTCTGTTTTCAAGGGAACAGTCGTATATGGAAAGCGTCGTTACGTTTCTGCAGGATGTTGTGCCACAGGTATGTGTAGATCTTTAAAACTTTATTTTTGGTGTACAAAGCAGTTGAAGTGTGTGTCAGAGACCAAAATGTCATTGAAAAAATGAAGCCATTGTTTTGTTTTATAAATGTGACTCTTGAGGCTAGGTTTTTGAAAGCATAGACTGCGTGCTGTCTGAAGCCTGGGCCTACAAATTTCCTCCAGTAGGTAATAACTTAGATGAAAATCTTGGCTACGCAGAAGTTGAAGAATTACAATACAAATAGCAGGAAGAAGATTGCAGCCTTTTCCTGTGACAATTCTGCCAGCAGAATAGTTGGGGAGGGGAGAGAGACTGGGCGTAGTACTTGCTCTGCCTCTTACAGATGCGGTTTTTCTGGATTGTATTTGGAAATCTACGTGTGAACCCTGGCTGGGTTGGTGTTAGGGCAGCGTGGTGGGCGCCCTTTGTCACCTTAGCTTTTCTCATCGGCTTAAAAGGCCCAAGTTTTGTTCACCTCCTTTACTCCCTCTTTTTTTAATCTTGTTTCCTTAACTTGCCTCAGAGTGTCCTGGCTGCCGCGGGACTGTGGAGCTCTGCCGAACCTGCTGTTCTCCAGTGTCCCAAGTGTTGCAAAAGACGAGTCCTGACTTTCCAATTTTTTTAAATTTTTTTTTTTTTTTCCATTTCTGGGATCTTCCTCTCTGGAGAATAACTATAATGCTTATGTCTGCTCTTGGTCATCGTTCTTGCAGGTAGCAGCAGCACCAAACTGGAACGGTCACTTCTGGATTGCTCATGGGCTTCTCGGTAGCAGAGGGAAACTAATTTTGTTTGTTACTCTTTGGGAAAGCTGAAGTTTTCAGTGGAGGAGCTTTGCAGCTAATTGTCTGTAGCCTCAGGAAACTGTCTTGGTTTTTATTTGAAGGATTATCTTTGTTAGTTAGTCATGAATTTCCTCAATAATATCAAAAAAAGTACCCCTCACTAATATCAATTAGTGAAATGCATTTTGGACTCATGGTCAAAATTAAAAATAGTCAGGCTTTCATTTAAAAGATTGCTGCGTTCCACACACACCCCCATTTTTTCTCCTCTGTAGTTAAAGGATACAGTCTGTGTTTTATTTTACAGATCAGTTTGCCTTGGAAGCATGGAATGTGATTTGTTTTGAAAAGTAATATCCACACTTATTTTTTTTAAATTCGTATTTTTAGTTCATGTTATTGCTTTTCTGTATAAAGTGATTATGCAAGCTCTTTTCATATTTAATCTAAAATACTTTTATTTTGTTATAATTCATTTGGAAGTGGTGGTGTTTCTACTGTAGCTCATGTTCTTACTACCACAGTTCCTCCTGAGAACTGTAAAACTTGCCATTTGGAAACACAGCAAGTCTCCTTCACAGTTTCTCTTTGTATCTCATCTTTTTATGGGAACCTGTAGAACAGAGAACTGAAACATGAATCTGTTCTACTGGAATTACAGTTATTCTCTTTTAAATGGCCTTATAAAAGATGTCATGAATACAACTACAATGTGTCAGTAAAATAAACCATGTACTAAAGGTCTCTGTCTTTCCTCAGTCTTGCTGACAAATCACTTTTAAGTGAATTAAAGAGAATTTTAGAAGTAAAAATGCATCGCTTGAGAACTTGTAACATCGCTTTTGGAAGTAGTGTACAACTGCTGAAGTTAGATTGTAGAAAGCACTGTATTTTGGCTTGACTAAGTTGCTGTAAGTCACATGGTGTTTCTAACCTGCTCCAGAAGGCTTACTGTTATGTCATTTCTACGTTAGTAAGTGATGTTACGCTCGTTGAGTTATATTTAGTGTGGTATATGTTGGTCATGGAACCATTCATTTTTGAAACAACCTCCCAGGGATGCTGGGGACAATAAGATCTGTGTATCTCTGATTTTTGTTTTTGACTTGCATTCCCTCCTATGGTCTATAGAGGGTATTAAACTTTCTTGTTTCAACCCTTTTGCTTTTTGTCCAGGCCTACAGTGGTACCCCACCAGCAGAAGAAAAGGAGAAGATCATTTGGGTCAGATTTGAAAATGCAGATTTAAATGGTATGGCTTCATTTTCTCTCACTTATTCTTGTTATTTTTGGTCCGTGTACAATAATTTGTCAGCTTTATCCAGAAGCACTGCTGACTCACTTTTGCTCAGTATCTACCAAACAGAACAGATAAGCCTTGTGACTAACTCTTGCTTAGGAACAGGGGCAAATAATAATAATAAAATATCTTTCTTTTCCTTAAGGTAGTTGAAAACAAAGCATAGAACTGAATTTATTTCATCTACTGTTTGATCTCCAAGCCAGGTTATCTGACTGTGAATCCATTCCAGGTCCCAGATATATTTTCAGTGGCGTGATAGAATTCGGAGTAACCTAGAAAGGAGGAGCAGTCAGGTAAAATGAGCGGGAGATTCCATGGTGCCTTTCAAGGAAATACTAGAGCAAAACCACAAAATGGTCTTAAAATGTAACTTCCAGTTACATTTCCAGTATCACTTCCAGTGTAACTTAATAAATCATCATCAGAGACTACTGACGTAGTGCCGAAAACACATCTCCACCTTTTTAAGAGAAATGGTGATTGTTAAAAGCTTTTGCTAAGAGTATCAAGTAGATCCCGCTGGAGATCTGCGCTGTTTTACCTCACTATCCTGGTCACCTTTTTTGAGTAAGGAAGATTAGGGACTGAATGAGAGATGGTTAAATGCTGCTCACAGGTAGTTGCTTCTTGAGTTAATTGAACATCGTGGAGTTGCTTGTGGTGTGTGGTATGTGTGCTTGTCACAGCTGGGGAACGCTGGGTTTAAGTCTTCCAGCAAATTGCTCTTTCTTGTCTGCTGTCTTATTTTCCTGTTCAGAACTCTATGGTAAAGACTCATTCTGGCCTCAGATGAAGTAATAGCACCCATAGCCAGAGCTGTGATGGGGAATTTTCAGCCTTTTCAAGAGGTTAATAGGGAAGATTATATGTTTTCCAGCTGTTAAAGTGGCACAGAGGCTGGCAGTTCATAAATTCATGGTTATTAGAACTAGAAGAGACCTACCAACCTTTACATGGCGTTACGTCCAGCTTTAGGCTCGTTAAGGTTTGTTTGCTTGTGGGTTTGTTTTCTTCGTATGTTTATTTTTTAAAAAAAATCTCAGGCATTCCCTCTTTAGGTTCTTTTCTGCGTATAACAAAAACTTGTCAGAATCCTTCATACTCTTATTTAAATTTACTTTTATGCAGCCTAATCTGATTGGGCCTGAGTACATCCTCTTTCGCCATCCTAAATATTTCCTCTCCTTCTTCAATGGTTACATGCTTGCAGTGAGCTTTTGTTTATTCTGTTGTGGTTGAAAATGTAGTTTTAGAGGGCCTTACTCAAGAAAAGCTAAATATTTTTGATTGTTGTGTCCTGTAGTGCTTTTCTCCCTAGCGATTTTCTTCTTTTGGTAAGGCAGATGTAAAGGTTAACTGCATCGCATCTAGAAGGGGTTTTGACCAGTCTGTGCATTTGTAATTTCTGTATTTGTTAATGTTTATTTTGTTGGTCCTTTACAATTTTTTCTCTATTTGAAAAGTTTGCCATGTTTTATTAATCATTGGAGAAAGAATTACGGAAGTTTTTGGGGTACTTTGTGACAACCCTCGCTGTAATCCAGAAAACTTTTCTCCATCATTTTAAATTTTAATGCTGTCTAACCTCTTTGTGAAACTTCACCAAATCTATTATATTTGCCTGAAAAAATATATTTCGGTATTGTTCCAGCATAAAAATGTAAACCACTTTGCTTGCTTTTACTTATGATAACAGAAACATGCATTGAGAAAACGTTGTCTAGTATAACAGACACCAGCCGTAGTTGATCCTAACCTGTTAGTAATGGCTTTGATATTTAAACCCAATTTAGATACATCAAGGAATATGGAGTTCCACGAAATACACAGCACTGGGAATGAACCGCCGTTGCTGCTCATGATTGGGTACAGTGATGGAATGCAAGTCTGGAGCATACCTGTAAGTGCAGCATTTGCTTCTGTGCCGGGGCTTTTTATTTGTAACGTTGTGTTAGGGCTTTAATATTTTACTTTTAATCTTTCCTGTTGAAGTAGCAAGAGCCGACGTTTACCATCAATGTCATATGGTTTGTATGCAAGACACTTATCTTAAGATTAATACTGAGCATAGATCAAACACTTGAATTCATGTCCCTTCAGATTTGAGGGCTTTTTGCAAATCATTTCTGTTAAGCAAATTTTTAGAGTGGAATTGGGAGTAGTGTTTGACATTATGGGATAGTTTGTATCCCAGGGAGGACAGAAGCGTTTTTAACCTACAGAAGGGAATAAGGGCGGAAAAATACGAAAAGAATTTGTTTGTCCCAGGAATGCAAGTATGACAGTGTTAGTAGTATTTTACAATCACATGTTTGTCATGTACGTGATTTGCAATTTTAATTTTATTAAAGTCTGTGCATGCATATGGGTTTGATTTCATGCTGTCATACACACACCCTGCAGTTGTGCTTCAGAGTGGTTTATGAGCACATGGTCTTAATTTGGGGAATTTCCCCCAAATTTCTTGAAACTATAGAATAAAGTTTAATACAGTAGGTCATAAAATTCTTAACTTAAAAAAAAAAA